ATTTCTCCCTGAGCGCCACGGTCATCGAGGCCTGCCAGTGCTGTGGTCGAACTCCCTGGCGAGGATGCGCGCGCGATCATTTGTAGTTCTTGACAGTTGGCGTGTCCCCACCAGTCGCTCCTGCGCGCTTAGTGCCTAATGTAGTCCGCTGCTCGTTAGCCGCGCTTCGACTTGACGCCGAGCGAGTTGTCGCTACGGTCGCGATCAAAAAAATGTCCCCACCAGCGCTCGTAGCCCGAGCCGACATGTGACGCCGCCGGCGCCTTCGCCTGCGGTTGCGACAAAAAGTGTCCCCACCAGCTCTTGCACGCCTGCCCCTGCTTGCACGGCGTTCGACTCGCTTCGCGCGCCCGCGTACCAAAAGTGCCCCCACCTGGCCGATTCAGGAACAGTTTGCCAGGTTAGTTGACGCGTTGTTGTGAGAGGTTCTCGGGGGCCTCTTGGAGCCAGATTGGGGCTTTTTGGAAGTCCTCTTGGGGCCCTCTTGGGGCTCTTTTGGGGCCATTGTGGCCCTCTTTGGGCCCTTTGGGCGGGTCTGAGAGGTCTCTTGGGGCCCTCTTGGGCCCCGTAGCTCAAAAGAGGAGGTCCTCAATTCGGCGCCCCCCCCTCTTCAAACATTGCCTTTTGGGGCCTTTTTTAGGGCGCTCTTAGGGTGCTTTTGGGTGCTCCTGGGCTCTCGTGGAACCCTCTTGGGGCCCTCGTGGGCTCCTATTGGGGCTCTCTTGGGCCGTCTTGGGGCCATCTTGAGGCCTCGGAAGCGCATCAGACGCGAAAAGGTCAGACCGCACACATCATTGACTTCACTATGGTTTTAGAACCAGTTTGACCTCTTGGGGGGGTCCTTGGAAGTCTCAGAGGGCACTTGACACCATCTTGGGGCCGTCTTGGGCCGTCTTCGATGCATGTGGGAGGATATCTTGAGCCATCTCCAGCTCTCTTGAGCCATCTTGGAGGTCATTTTGGGCTCTCTGAGGCCCTCTTGGAGCCATTTTGGGCGCTCTAGTGCCTCGCGCCCCCCCCTTTCCCAGGCCTGGGGCCCAGGGGAGGGATATGGGAAGGAGTCAAGACACCCTCCAGATAGCAAGCCGTCTAGCTCACTCCCACCCGCCCTCCCAACACATAAGTAACACCCGAGCCTATGCATGTTCAGCGGTCGTCTTTGGATGGGCAGCTACTGGGAACCAACATCCAGCCCATGTGCGCGACGCTGGGGCGAGGTGCGCCACGCTTGCCAGGCGCGTGACGCGCGCCAACGCCCCTAGGGCCCGAGCGTGCCAGGCAAGATGCGACACGTGCCTCCGCGTGCGCCAGATGTGCCGCATACTCCAGCCGCGCCAGGTGCGCCACGTTCGGGGCACGTGCAGAGTGTGTCAGGTGCGCCTGCGCACGTGACAGAACACATCGGGAAGCATGTCGGCCCCCACCATCCTTGTCAACAGCCGTTGCCCATCGTTGTGTCTGGTGGGCCTGCGTACAGCAGGCCATACGCCACCAACCCCGCCGTGCCTGGCAAAAACCGCTTGACAATTATCGCGGGGTGGCCGCGCATGATCCATATTTAGCCGCGAGGTGCATTTTGTATTGCGCTTGGTCAGGGATTGTAGCCCTTCGCCCAGCAGCTGCCCCCCCCCCCCGCCGTCTCTGTGAAAAAATAATACAGATTGCTCGCGGGCCTCACGAACATAACTCCAGACTTTCCCCAAAATGACCTTTGATTTTTTTTTTTGACAGGGCCGATGGGGGGGCGCATCGGGTTGGGTGTGCATGTTCCGAATTTTGAGGCAGAGTGCGTTTTTGTTTAAATTTGTTGATTGGGATGTTGGGGGGGAGCATGGTTCCTGGTTGGCTGCTGGTCGCCTGGGGGAGGGGTTGTCTATTAATAGGGAACAGTTGTAAACCCCTCCCCCGAGCAGGGGAAGGAGGGGCTGTGGAGAATGAGAAGACGAAGTTCGTTAAACCACTCAAGCCCAGAGGGCTGGTGGGATTGGTGTCTCGCATGGACCGTGGTCTCGCCGAAGCGTTTTCTCAGGCGCTCTCCGCATCAATGTGTCGGCGAGGCGATTCCCTTTCGAGTGCAATGATATATGTTGGATCGACGCTTCGAGGTGCGCTGGACACGCATGGGGCGTGAAAGCGCCTCGCCTTAGGCGCGTCCCGTCCTCTGCGGAGTCCGGCGGAAGTAGGACGAGGGCGGCTACGCCAGCGGAAGCTGGCGGAGGGCCTCTCTCCACCAGAGGGAGGGGGGAGCCGCCTTCACTGTGCCTCCCCTGCAGAGGCAGGGGAGCGTGAGGCGCGGGGCAACGGCTCAGCGGCCGCCGCCCACGCGTTTCCGTCGGTTTTGTGTCTCAGGGCTCCTCCGATCTTATCGGTAGCGCCGCGTTTCTAGCGGTAGGTTTCTTCTAGAATGCCCTCGCAAAACTTCCTTGGGAATGGGAGTAGCGTTTGAAAAAAGGAGGGCAACAAATAAGCCCCCCAGAGATGACATCTTTTTAGGATCCAGGGGTTTCTGGAAGGGGCCACGTGCTGCGGCCGGCCTGGGGGACAACCGGACACGCATGTGGCCAGATGTCTGTTCCAGCGCCTGGCCTTTCCATGGCTGGGCACGCGGGGCTTCCGCGTGTGTATCCACCGCGTGGCCACTGCATGCTTCACGCGTGAATCTAGCCATGTGTCTCTACAGCTTTCCGATGGGAGGACGAGCGTGTCGCTTACGCGAGTTGCGCTGCCTCTGCAGTGGTGCAGTACTGTCAGAGTGATCTGCCAGGCCACTATTGCCCTGTCACAGCCCTCGTTTGTGCGTTCCTCCCGCAGCTTCGCCCCACCGCGTTGGTGGGCGCCTTCAGTTGACCCTCGCGCCCTGGTTTTCCATTATTATGGGAGTTGTTTTCGGTGTCCATCCCTGCCTGTCTTCCGGCCCGTGCGCCCGTCCGTCAGTATGCCAGGTCTGTATGTCTACCTCCGTGCCGTCGTGTCTCATGCACTCGAACGCAGAGCGAGATGCTCGCTCAGCTCGTGGTGAGCGATGCTTCGTAATGCCACCATCTTGCGAAGCTGATGTGCGTCAGGGATCATGCCTGTTCCCCTCTCCCCCTCATCCTCTCTCTCTCTCTGTCTCTCTCTCTCTCTCTGTCTCTGTCTCTCCCTCTCTCTCTCTATATATATATATATATATTTCCGTTTCACTCATCCCTCGAATTCCCTCTCCTTCACTCGGTGTGTGTTTGTGTGTGTGTGTCTCTCTCTCTCTCTCTCTCTCCCTGCTCGCTTCCCCCCATCCATTCACTCACTCGTGCTCCCCCTCTCTGTCTCTCTCTCTCTCTCTCGTTCCTTTTCTCTTCCTTTCTTAAAACATGTGTATCTCTCTCTCTCTCATCGTCTCCTGATTCCACGTCCTCTCCCTCCAGTCCACCCTCCTGCTCCTCTCCTCCTGCCCCAACACCCTGCCGCCTGCCCCACGACCCGCGAGCTTCCGACCCCCTCTTGAGCGGCTGGATGTCGCCCCCCCCCCCCCCGGGGGGCCGAAGCGGCAGCGAGACGTTGAACTCGCCCTCCCTTCCCCCCGCCTCTTCGAGGCGTCCCAGATGGTAAGGCTTCGGGCTGCGCAGAGACCCGCCCCCCAGGTAGTCCCGGCTGGCCTCAACAGGCCCCGCGAGCAGCCCCAGTTGGCCTCAACAGGCTCCCCGAGCAGCCCGTGGAGGTCTCAACACCCTGGTGCCGCCTCCGGCGGTGTTCGCATGCGTCCCCCCCACCCAACATAGCGTTTCGCCACAGGGAGCTCCATCCAAGGTTCCAATGGCGGTGTTCGCATGCGTCTCCCCCCACCCAGGACAGCGTTTCGTGGCCCCACAGGGAGCTCCACAGAAGGTTTCACTGGCGGTGTTTACGTGCGCCCCCCGGCGCCCTGGAGGCGCTCCGCACCCCAGACCGCCCCGGACTACTCGGAGGGGGCTTGTTGAGGCCAGCAGGAACTACCACTCGGGGGGGGGGAGGGGGCCTGTTGAGGCCGGCTGGGACTACCTGGGGGTGGGGCCTGTGCCCCTGGAGGCAGAGCCAGGGACTCAGGGCGGCGAACTCAGGCACTCCCATGTGCTGCAGCAGCGCGCCGAAGTCAGGGGCACCTCGAGCTCGTGAGGGCATCGCTGTTCCGTGGGCCCCTCCACAGCTTTGCCTCCAGGCCTTCCTCGTGCACCCAGGCGCTCTGGGGGCCCTAACAAGCTAGATGATCGGTCCGTATTGCTAGCAGCTTTCCTCGTGTTAGCAGCTTGGCCGTGTCTGCGCGCCTCCGCCCTCGAGTCTTCCTCCTCACCCAGTCAGCTGGCCTTCTCTCCTCCTCCTCCTCCTCCTCCTCCTCCTCCTCCTCCTCCTTCTCCTCCTCCTCCTCCACCTCTCCTCCTCCTCCTCCTCCTCCTCCTCCTCCTCCTCCTCCACCTCCTCCTCCACCCTCTCCTCCTCCTCCTCCTCCTCCTCCTCCTCCTCCTCCTCCTCCTCCTCCTCCTCCTCCTCCTGCTCCTCCTTCGGCAGCGGTCCTGGCCAGCCCGATCCGATTCGATTCCGGTGTTCCGACGATCCGATGCGGCCCAACCCAATGGCTGCGTGGCGCTGTTGGGACGGCCAAGGGGGGGGTGAGGGGGTCATGACCAGGGGGGGATCTCATGGCTGGGGCCATGGTATCTCCCCAGATTTCATGGCGCCTCCTCAAATTTCAATGTGTCCCCTGCCTCCCCAATCTGGGCCGCGTAGATGCCTCGGGCAATGACTTGCGAACCCGCCTCTTGGACGCCCCCGACGTTCCGCGTTTCTGGCGCACACGAGCCGATGCTGGCTGAGTAGGAGGAGCAGCAGGAGGAGGAGGAGGAGGAGAGGGAGGAGAGGGAGGAGCAGGAGCAGGAGGAGGAGGAGGAGGAGGAGGAGGAGGAGGAGGAGGAGGAGGAGGAGGAGGAGGAGGAGGAGGAGGAGGGGGGGGCTCCTCGCCCAGTCGGACCCTCGACACCAACGAAGCGATGGGACTGCTGCGCGGCTCCGCCGGGCTGGCCTTGATCGCCCTGTGCCGCCACGCCGCGCTCGCCGCGGGCGCCGAGGCCCGGGTGGGGTTGCGCGACGGCGGCCGCTCCCAGAGCTCTCAGGCTGCCTCGTCGGCTTTTCTGTCGCTTCTCCTCCTCCACCTCCTGCTTCTCCTCCCCCTCTTGGGCAGGCGCTCCCCACTCCGCGCGGGAGTTCGCGCCTGAACGCGGGCGCGCGCCTTGCAGGTTATAAATCGCTGGGCTGTGTCGACGTCGGCGCACGGAGGCCGAGGGCTCCCAAACCAGGGTCAGGTTCGATTCGGGTCGACGTGGATTCCGCCCGGCCCGATCCGAGACGATTCGATTCGATGCCGACATTCCGACGATCCGATGCGGCCCGATGCTTGTTTTGCATCCTGTCGCCGCGGATCCGATTCGATCTCGATTCCGCGTCGATGCAGCCGATCCGATTCACATTTCGATTCGATCTGATCTACCGGTTAAATGCTAACTGATCTTGCCAAACAGTGCGGTGACCCCACCCGACGACGACGACGCTCAAAAGAGGCAAAGGTAGCGATATCCCTGCACGTCCCTTCGTCTTCGCCTTTCTGGACCTCCGGGGAGGCCCTCGCCGCCACGGCTGGCTTCGCCTCGAAATTCTAGTCAGAGCTCACCCCGGAAGGGGTCGCGCGGAGGAGGAGGAGGAGGAGGGGGAGGAGGAGGAGGAGGGGGAGGAGGAGGAGGAGGAGGAGGGGGAGGAGGAGGAGGAGGAGGAGGAGGGGGAGGAGGAGGAGGAGGAGGGGAGCAGCGGGATCCGCCCCAGACGTGCTCGCGTCCTGAAAATAACCTACGCTGTGGCGGTGTTTGGCCAGTGTCGGCCTCTGCTCTGGGGGCCCTCTGCCGGGCCCAGGGGCCGCACAGACAACAGCTCGGAATGGCACAAATGCCCTGGGGAGGGGGTCGAGACTTCGGGGACCGCGTATCGAACAAGTCAGGACCTCGCATGTCTGGGCACCGTGTGGTGAGTCCGTGTGGATTCGGGGTCGGGCGGCTGGGACCACCGAGCTCGCAAGACCTGGCGGTGACGGACAGCGCGGCGAGGTCTCTGGTGATTCCGAGTCGGTCTGTCGCCGCACCGTCTTGGGACGACCAGGGCGACTTGTACAGAGGAGACCCCTGCCAAGAAACACCCTGCTTGCCTCCAGGTTGCCCTGGGTTTCTTGGGCTTCGACGGTTTTGCCATGGAAAGCGCGACGTTCCCACACCAAGAAACAATGGACGTCCTGGGGTCTCAGGGTCGGGTTTCTTGTGGAAGGTTTCTTGTGGTCGGGCCCCTACTGTATTGTAGGCAGTCGAGCAGACCGCCCTGTCTTCAGAGCCAGAGGCATCGCGAAAGTGTTTGTTGTTGTCGCGGCGTTGGCGAAGAGCGCACGGCGCGGTCGGGGCGGCAGGCCAGGACGCGGAGTCGATGATTAAGCCATTCTTAGGCACAGGAGGGCGTCATGAGCCAAACGGCCTACTTGATGCGTAACGTAGCCTTGTCCGCGGCCTCACGGGCCTGGCCCCTGGGCCGCGACCCCGCGGATACAGGGCGTGTTTTCACGGATGCTCCGCGCGGAGCGTATCCGTGCGACCGCGTATCCGCGGGGTCGCGCCCCGGAATGCAGACCGCGAGGGCGCGGATGTGGATGTGGATGCGGATGTTCTTTCCCCCGCCCCATTGCTCACGCTGGCAGCGCAGGGCAAGGCACATCAGGGGATAGGCATAGGGGGGATATGCATAGGGGGGATGCATCGACCCCCAATTGCCCATCGATCGCTGATAGGGGCCCGATAGCCCCAACCTGCCCAGACCCATCGCCGATCCATCGGGAATGTATCGCAGACTCCAGGTCGAATTTCTCCTCTCCCCCCCCTATGTCTATCCCCCCTCATCTGTGCTCCTCAGCACAGCATAAGATGATGTAAATTGAACGTTGGGGATTGCCAGAGAGGGGCGCTGCCAGCGCGCGAGCGAGCAAAACTGGGGCATGCCGAAGGCTGAGCTGAATATCAAGGGAAGCGCGGCATGCTTAGTGTAGTCAACTTTTGAACGGCGGCGAGCCAGGGAGGAAGTGAGACGGAGCAGGCCGTCTCAGGAGACGGCGGGGCTTCTCAGAAGCCCTCTGGCCTTCTGGGAAGTTTTCTCTGTCTTCGGGAAAGGTTTAGAACACCTCTCAGAAGGCTGGGGACTTCCGAGCCTTCTGAGAAGGCCCGCCCCGTGTCACTCCCCCCCCAGGGTCGCCGCCCTTATGAGGACCATCCTGGAAGCCTCGCGCGGCGCGCAATAAAAGAGTATGATCTAGTATCTAGACCACACGTCCGCCCCGTCAGATCTGGGACGACGTTCGAGCGGCGATGTTCCGATGTAAATCCGATTCACATTCCACGTGCAGCTGGCGTACATCCAATGTACGTCCAAAGAAACCCGACGTACATCCGACGTTGACGTATATTGGGTCTCAAGTTGCAGTGCGAGGCCTCCAGGATTTTCTTCATGAGCCAACTCAGGTCGAGGGAGCTCGCTCGGTGTATGAAACAAGTGGATGTGAGTGTCGCTTGCGTAGCTGAGTTGCTGGTCTGCTGGCGCCTTGCTTCTCGTGCCGAGTGCCAGGATATCTGGCGGGCAGCATTTGGCAGATGGAGATGCTCTCAGATGTGCGTGCGAGTGCGGTGGGGGCGTTCGTTAAGGAATGCGCCCAGGAGGCTTCAGACTCTGGAGGATTCATTATCTGATGATGGCGGCTGTGATGCCCATGGCTAAGCCGCAGTTGGCGTTCCACCAGCTTCCAAACCCTGGATCCCTTACCCAGGGGTTCCTTATCCAATGCCCTCATCGTAATCCATGGAGCAGAGGCCGCGCGCTGTGCCAAGATGGCGTGCTCGTTTTGGAGCCGGCTGGGTGCCGGAGGTGGCCCAGAACTGCTTCCGGACAGCAGGCCGGAGGGGACAGGTTCGAGGTTCTGGGTTCGAGAAGGTTTTCGCCTTTTTCGGCTTACGGTGGCGGCTTCCGGGCCTCCACCTTCAAAAACGGATCCGGGGCGAACATTTTCACCAGATGGACATGTTGAGCGGATTTGGCTTCATCCCCCTTAGAGGGGGATGAGGCCAATTCCGCTCAACATCGGGGGCCTTGATGGCCGATTTTCTGGGGTCCCAACCTGTTCAGACACCCTGGTCACCTCCAATGTTCATTGGGAGCATGAATTGTACTCTACTTTGTGTCCGGACCCTGGCACCAAACACACCTCCAGATTAGTTGTCGCACTCCTGACTCATGGCTCTCTTTTTGGGAATTGCGCAAGTTTTTAGCAGGTGCATTCATGGCCAGCTAACGCGAACCAGTCCATGGTATGGGTGGGAGCCCCGCGAGGGGTTAATGCACGCAGTGGCTTTCTGCATGCCGTCAGCCCTACTGGCACCACCTGAAGCCAAGGATTTCGGGAAGGCCGGCAGCAACTTTCGACTCGTTCCTCTTTCCCGTCCCTTCTCCATCACCTCCGCCTCCTCCGCCTCCTCCGTATCCTCCTCATCCTCCTCCTTCTCATCATCATCATCATCATCATCATCATCATCATCATCATCATCATCATCATCATCATCATCATCATCATCATCATCATCATCATCATCATCATCATCATCATCATCATCATCATCATCATCCCTCTATCCTCCTCCTCGCGACTCCTCCTCCTCCTCCTCCTCCTCCTCCTCCTCCTCCCCATCCCCCTCCTCCTGCCTCCTCCCCCTCCCTCCTCCCTCCCTCCCTCCCTCCTCCCTCGTCCATCCTCCTCTTTCCCCTCCTTTTTCCACAACCTTCTGCTCCTCCTACTCCTCTTCCCTCCCTATCCTCGTCACCTCCTCCTCCTCTTTCTCCATCATCCCTCTTTCTCCCTCCTGCTCCATCCTTCCACCTCGCTCTCCCTCCCCTTCCTCCGCCTCCTCCTCCGCCTCCTCCTCCTCATCATCCTCCTCTCTCTCGCCCCCCCACCCCACCTTCTACCCGCCGAGGCGTCGATTTCCGGCACGCAGAAGGCGGCGCTCGCATGGGGCGGAGGGTGGAAATTGCCGGAAGCGCGAGGGGAAGGGGCTCGTCTTTCAGGGGGGGAAGGTGTGGGTCACCCGCAGGGGCGGGAATGGGCGGCGCGTCCAGTGGGGCCTTCTCAGAAGGCTCAGGAGGCCTCTGGCCTTCCGGGAAGCTGTCCGAGCATGCTTCGAAGCCTCAGGCAGCTTCTCCGAAGGCCAGGGGGCGTTCGAGAAGCCCCGCCGCCAGAAGGCCTGCCCCTCCCCCCAAACCCCCACTTCCCCCCCCCCCCTCCGGCGCGCCGCCTAGGGAAGATTCGAGGAAACACAGGCATGGAACCAAGGCGCGTTGATTGGCGAAGAGCCCCGCTCCCATACAAACGTCGACGCGTCCCGTCGCAAGATCAGGCACCATTGACCTCATGCTTTGGAGGGATTGCTCTCCCTGGGCGCCCACGTGCCAGATCCACGGATCTGTAATCCATACTAGCGAGTGCCTGAAAGATAACAGCGCTTTGCGCCTCGCAGTCTGGGCCAGGGACGTGTGCTTCTCCAGGGGGCGATACGAGGGCGCAAAGAAGATCGCGCATCGCGCTTCGCGCAGCCAGGAGCGCGAAATTAGGCCTCCTACTCTAACGGGGTATGGAAGAACGGGGTGGGACAGGCTGAGGCTTCCGCGTGCACTGGCCCCGCTGCGATCCACGCGCGCACAGAGCCCCCTTGCCGAGAGGGCGCTCGTCGACCACTTTCGGGCAGGGGGGGGTTGGCGACTTTTGTCATCCAGCAGGCTTTCATGTGCCAGGCCTCTCCCTTAGGGAGCAGGCCCAGCCAGTGGCGAAGTGCCAGGAGGTGCACCGCGCCTGCCACCAGTGATGGCTCGAGAGGTGGCAGAGATGCACCAGCGTGGGCGCGCTCGGGAGCAGGGGGATCCGTTGAGCGGCGCAGTGCTGGGTGGTGGAAGTTGGTGGCACGGCGTTCCCTGGACCCCAGCACCGCGGGCGTTGAACATGCTGGCGACGCTGTTGCAGGTCGAGTCGAGCAGATGCCCGCCGCACTGCAGGGGGCATTGGGTCCCCAGTGTTCCGCAAGAGGTTCGGCAATCGAGAGCCAGTTCGTCAGTCTTCTCGCACCCGCATTCCACAGTGACCTCTTAGCGATCTTGTTGTGCGGACGTCTGTTGCACCGCTTCCCAGAGAGTTGTTGAAGGGCTGTAAGCGAGACCGTCCGTACCAGGACAATATAGATTATCTTGCAAAGTTTTGTGCGTTGGCCATCTCCTGTGGAATTCATGCACATCGAGTTGCCCGATCTCGACTAGGACTTACGATGCGATGGTATACTTGCCTTGGCATATCTTAAATATTACGGTCGATAGACGCTTTAGGATTGGTTTGTGGGTTGTGATATTGTGTTGCGATTGTTGTGCAGGCTGGATGTCCGAAGTCACGATGGTGTGTTGTTCCGAGGGCTTGAGCGAGCTGTGCCACGTAAATGATGCCCTTGCCTTCATCCGACATGCTCATCCTCTTCTTTTGGTATCCTGCTCGTCTTCGTCGTCGTCCTCCTATTTAGTAGTATAGTTGGCCGTCCTTGTCCTTCTCTGTCTCATCCTCCGCTGCCACCTGCTGCCCTCCCGGCGGGCTGTTCCAGTTGAGACGCGCACTCGCCGCGATTCCCACAATTTCGCAGCATAAAGGCACATGGGCGATGAGTTGGTTCGAACGTCGTGTGGCGGCCTTGCCAACCATTTTATTCATACACTCAGGGTCAAAAAGCACGATCTACCAGTCCCTTGCTTTCACCAAGTGCCAGCACTCGCCGCTGGCCTAAATGTGCCTGATGTTTGGCACGTGCTATTGAAGCCGCAGTGACTTTCCACATGCAAGTCTGCTTCACACGATGTGCGCAACGGCGCGGTGTCAGCAGCGGTTCGTGCCCAGAGTGCGGGATTCCAGATCTGCGCAGGTCATCCAAATGTTGACGGACATGGCGGCGAAGGCGAAGGCGGAGAAGGCCGATGTTCCGCGACGCGCTGCAGATTGGGATCGCCGTCGTGCGCTGAGGCTGTGGCAGGAGTGTTGGTCCGTACTATATATATAGCACCTCGACGTCCCACGCAGTCATCCTCCGACGTTTCCACAGGCGAGCTGGCCGTAGGCGCTTCTGCATCCGTGGGTCTTGGGGGGACGCCAGGGTCCTTGCCCACTGGGCGTCGGGGCCGTGCGGTACAGTGCTGCGGTGATCCAGAAGAGCATCGTGCGGCGCCCCCCCCTTCCCCTCCTCCAGTAGATGCCAGTGTACAGTGGCAGTCAGCACGCTGATCTAAGGATCATCTTGGGCTCAGGAGGTGCTCTGCTTTTCGGGCCGCTCCTTAGATCTAGGTCGGTGAGCCCATCCGTGGCCGAGGCATGGCGTGGCCCGAAAAGGCCCCTCGTTCTTCCTTCAGCGTTCCGTCTGGTAGCGCAATGGTTGTATTTGCCTCCATAGTATGATGTCTTTACTGCCCCCGACCATGCTGTCAGCTGCAGGGGGTAGCATATCCAGGAGCTTCCTCAGATGCAGCTTATACACGCGAATGTGAGCACTTGCGTTAGGCATAAGCGCATTCACAATCGTGAGATCCCCAGCGAGCCCGAGCTCCAGCCCAGCCGCGTTTGAGCAGCAATCGTCTTATCCTCCGTGGGGAGAAACGTTTTCGTCCGCCCCTGGCGCAGGCGGGGAGGTGCGCGGAGCAGGGGGCATTCCTGACTGCCGGCATGGAGAACCCCGACGCGTGCGGGTCTGCAGTGCAGTGGTGATCGTGATGTGAATGCCGCCTGGTTGGTGCTCGGTCCAGGCCGCTGATGCATCGCCGACGTCGCCGATGCATCGACGACGCATCGGCGATGCATCGGCGATGCGGCGCGATACTCCGACACCATCTGTTCGGGCCCCATTGGGGAGGCCTCCATCAATAGGATAGATAGGGCCCTGGGGGAGAGAGGGCTCTGGGCTTGCGCTGTTCGGAACATCCTCGCACCCGGGGCCCCATGTCTCCGGGCCTCGTCTTTGAGGTGCCGAGGAAGGTGACTCATTGAAAATGGATGGCCGATGACGTTGGATGGAGCACGGTTGAGAGCGAGGAGATGATAAGCGGGCCAGCGAATTGACAGGATGACGGGTGAGGACGCAATAGATGGAGGAAAGGGACGAGTAACAGCAGCAGGATTGTGACGAGGAGAAGGACGCATACGTGCATGGTGCATCCTTTCGCGGTGTCAGGTTTGCGGGTTTTCTTCTAGGGCCCGCTGGCCGCCTGGTGGCGAATAGGATGTGCAGCTCTGCAATGCACCGTGCGCAACCTACTCAAACATGAAAACGTGCAGCAGTCTGTCAGTCCGGTATACCGCGAGCTTGTCTTCAGGTCGTGGATGGTCGCACTTCCGCCATGGCAACTTCCCATAGTATGTTCAAAGCCTTGCATGCGACCACTTGGAGGGCTGCGTCCTCTGCCGCCTGCCCGCCCCTGAGAGAGCCGGCTTGATCCTTCTTTGGGGCATCTTGGGGCTTCTGGGGGCCATCTTGGGGCCTCGAGGCGCCATTCTGGGGCCTCGTGGTGGCATTTTGGGGTTATCTCGGCGCCTTGCTTGGCCATCTTCGCCGATCTTTTCCATAGCAGTTGGGTCCTCTGGGGCACCTCGGGGCTGTCTCAGGTAGTGTTGGAGAATCGATTGGGGCCTTCTGGGGTCGTCTTGGAGCTCCCTTGGGGGAGTCTGGTGAAAGGCAATCAATATCAAAGCACTCAATAATTTTCAGTGTCGGGTTTGCCCCTTCTTGGGGATGTCTTGCGGCCCTCTTATTAGGTTCTTGGGGCCCTCTTGGGCCGCCTTAGAGCCATATTTGTCATCTTGGGCTCTGTTGGGCTCTTGGGTCCCTCTTCGGTGCCTCGTGGGGCTGTCCTTGGCACCTCTTGGACCCTCTTGGCAGTCTGGTAGCGTCTCCACGGGAATATTGGGAAACCTACAGCGGCCATGGGACTGAGGGACTTTCCCCTCCAGTTGGCGCCTTTTGGCGCCGCGGCCTCCCAAGCAAACAGCAGCGAGGAAATAGCAGACATGGCTTCTGAGACATGAGATGGGAGATTTGACACGAGTGAGAGAGAGAGAGAGAAGAAAAAAAACACATAAGTGAGATGCACCATCCGGATAATAGTGCGGCAGCGGATCTCGCACCTGGTTTTCGCGCCTCAATGTTGACGGTTGCACGACATGGTCTCTTGTCAGCTCGTCTGGAGAGGACCTTACCCCTGCAGCAGACGGGACCCAGTGGGACCGCTCATATAGCGATTCTTGCAACCATCCATCTGCGCCCGGGCCTCCGAAGGCCGAGGAGGAAGTCACCTTTTCAAAGTTCAAGACGTGGTGCACAGAGGAAGTCAGGAAGACGACGGCGGAGATCGCACAGAATTCCGCTGACATCGAGTCCCTCACTGCGGCGGGGCACGGGGGGATGGCGAGCAACATGGATTGTGTAGCATCACATTGACGCAGCAAAAACAGAAGCAGAGAGACGAACTCACGCGTACATCCACGGTCGAGTTATACCTTTTCTTGTGTCGTGGGCCAGCAGGCTTCGATCGGTTAATCTGTCTGCCTTCTAGTAATTGCGATACGTCATCGCCGCCGGATGACATTCGCTGCTGCGTGATCCGGTCACGCGCATCAGACATCCGTTCGGATGTCTTGGGGCGGAACGAGGTTTGCAATGAGAACCCCCAGGCCGCCAAGCCCCACATCTATACATACTCATGGTTTGAGGTCGGGGTCTCTTCTGAAGGTTTTGGTGCCAAAATCTTGCCGTTCAGCTTGAAGGCTCCCTCCTTTTGCCTGCACTGGCTTTGCCTCGGCAGTTTCCTGGGAGCTGGCCCAGCGGGATACCACGCGCAAAGTTGGCCATGCAAGGCTGGTCACCGTCCGTGCAATCTTGTTACGTCGCACGTTCGGGGGACCTCGTCTGTCCTGTTAACTGCAGTCTGTCCTGATATCCGGCGCGTGGTCGGCGCGGATTCGCCGTGTAGTCGGCGTGGGCACGACGCGAATCAAACGCTGATTCGACTCGTTCGAGGCGGATTCGGCACGGGTTCGACATGGATCGCGGCGCGACGAGACAGACACATTCCTTCGAAGGTGCAACATCATTTTTCCCTAAGGGTCATCAAGGTCCAGGCGACGAGGTGTGCAGCAGCCCATGGTGAGGCGACCCGGGACAGGTGAGTTGCCCCGCACCCCCCTCCGTGAAGCGAGCTTCACAGGACTCTTTGTGTTGTCTTCCCTCGTCCCTTCCTCCTCCTAGGGCGACGAGATCTATACATATCCACTGCTCCTGGCCAGGCCCATCCTGGGCCCAGGAGCTGTGTATATGCCTCCCTGGCCAGGCCAGGAGGGCGTATACACCGCTCCTGGGCCCAGGATTGGCCTGGCCAGGAGCAGTGGATATGCATAGATCTCGTCGCCCCTCCCCCCCCCCCTCATACTCCCGTGTTTGTTCCAAGATTCCTCCCAGCAGGCGCGTTGAGCAAGAACCCGGCCTGCCTACAGTTGCCCCGCGGAAGTCTGTCCTCCCCTAGTGGCCGTGGGGGCCCACAGACACCCCAGGGCACCTCAGGAAGCTCAACCCTCGATGACAAACGTGCCCTTAGATCTCTTGTGGCAAGAAGTCATCTCGCATGTGCCTACTGTACTGACATCGCCTTTGGCCCATCCCGCCACCGTGCCTGGGTTGTGGGTCTTAGACCTCTTGGATGTTCGCTGGGATGTCGTGGGAGGCCTCTCGGGGGCCTGTTGGAGGCCTTCTGTTGAGGCCGTTTGGGGGCCGTTTTAGGGCCTCGTGTTGCGTATTTGGGGCATTTTGGGGGCCTCATGGGGCTTCTTGGGGGCTCTTGGGGCCTCCTGAGGGCATCTTGGGGCGAAAAGCTCGGATTGCCCTTTGAGCGCGCCCTCTTGGGCCTCACTTGGGGCCGTCTTGTGGCTCTCTTGAGCCGTCTGGGGTGTCTCTTGGGCCGCCTTGGGGCCCTCTTGGGCCATCTTTGGGCCCTCTTGGAGGCCTGTTGTGCCGTCTTGGGGCGTTCTTGGGAGTATAGTTGAACGCCATGGGGCTGAAAAGTCGCGTACGCAAGTTGAAACGGACGTTGTCTTACAGAAGTTCGAAGATTTTTGCCTCTTGGGGCCCTCTTGGGAGGCATTTTGGGCCTCTCTTCGGGCGTCTTGGGTGTCTTTTCAGCCGTCTTCCGGTCATCTTGAGCGTCTTGGACCGTTTGCATGGGCGCCTCTTGGGGCGCTCTTGGCTCGTTCTGGGGCTCTTTTGGGCCTGGACAATACCCGAAAGGGACGCAAGAAGCCCTGGGAGATTTAGAAATTTGGGGTCCCGGCCCTTTTAGAGAATCCTCAGGATTGAGAACTGAGGCGTAAGGGGTTAGGCCAAGGACATGAGGACATTCCAACTCGTGCCTCAGGGCACGGTGGCGGAGTAAACATCATAAAGGTCCCCTGCGCAGTGCGTGGCAGGGGTGTGACGCTGCGCACATCGTGCGCGAAAGAGCGCATATTTTCTCTAACAGCCGCGCTGCAGCCTGGGCGCTGCGCACGATTCCTTCTGCCTGCCAGATTGTCGGAAGCGGGAATGTCGCTCTCGCTCACAAAACCGTCGAAAGCGGGGGTGGGCCTGAGAGAACGACATGCTCTTCCCGCCTCCGCGCGCTCCTGAAAGCAACGTTACGCTTTTGCCTGGACGCACATCTTTCCTTCACCAAGTCGTCGGAAGCTGGGCTTCGCTTCGCGCGCGCGAGTGCCTTCGTTCGGCTAGGTTGGAGCCCGCGTCAGTCTCGACATTCAGCTGTGCTGGCATTTACTATGGTAATGTGGGGAGGTGTTGGAAGCGGGCGAGGCCCGCTGGTTTGCCCGATCTAGCTAGTTTGACGATCCATACTCCTGCTCTGGTCATCCTTCCCCAGACCGAACTTGCACACATGAGTTTCCCTAGGCAGCTTTCCTGTAAGGACTCCACCTGGCGCTTCTTATCAACTGGTAGAAGTTTCGTCGGATCCAAAAATCGGCGTGGCGATGTGGCCTCTGCGGAGCCGGGGCCGCTCTCCCCTTCCCCATGCCCCGCAGCGGCAGCGGGGCGGCGGCCGGGCGGCAGCCGCCATCGCAGGGGCAGGATTCTTTCTTCTGGCCGGTCGCTGTCGTAAGCAATTTTCGGCCTCGAGCCAGCTCGCCACATAGCAGCAGAAGTGACGGGGGACTCTGATGGGCCAGTCTTCCACCACCACTACCACAGGCAGGACGGGGGAGAAGGGAGAATGTGGAGGTCCTCCTCCTCCTCCTTTTCTCCTTCTCCTCCTCCTCTTCCTTCTGCTCCTCCTCCTCCTCCTCCTCCTTCTCTTCCTCCTCCTCCCTCTCCTACATAGGGTAGTGATGGTGGAGCATCGGCCCATCAGACTGGGGGCGCATGGTGTTGGCTGGGAGCTTCGGGCTCCAGGCTGGTGGGCGCCCTTGGCCATGCTCGTGGGCGCCACGTGTCGGCTGGAAAGTGCACGGTGCGTGGCTGGCGTGGGTGCCCGTGGGCGCCTTCGTGGCCGCCCCGCCCGTCGCCGCGAGGGTGCCCCCTTGCGCGCTCTGCGCCACACAGCAGGGCTGGACCTCAACGGTGTCTTTTGGCCGTCTCGCGGGCCGCTTTGATGTTCGCTTGCGAAGGCAGAACGAGGAGAAACGAAGAGCATGACGAACACGAGAATCACCGTTGAGGTTCGGTCCTGCCACACAGTTTAGACCTCCTCGCTTACACCACACAGCTGGCACCACGTGGCTCGTACCTCGTAACTTGCACCACGTTGCTTGCATCGCACAGCTTTCAGCGCATAACTCACACCACATCAAGTAATTACATCACAGAGTTTGCAAAGCACAGCTTGTACTACATAGCCTGCCACCATATAGCTTGCACCACATAGTTTGCACTGCATGGCTGGCACCACGCGCAACGCAGCTTGCACTACATGGCTTGTGCCACGCAGCTTGCACATCCAGAGTGCAACGACTCACTTTCCGGCGTCCACACTGGTACACGGGCTTTCTTTGTGACGATTACCTCCTTGCCACTTAGCCAGCCGAGGGAACTTCAATCTGGGGTCCACCCCACCAACCATAGAACAAATGAAGGCGTCGTGCTTCCTTTCAACATTTGCTGCGGGAGCGGGGCGCGGCGCACATCGCGCGCGAGAGAGCGAAATGCAGTTCGCGCTCCAGCGCCGCGCATATTGCCCACCAGCGGCGTCTCCCGGGGGCATGCGGAACGTCGCTCTCGCCCAATCGCCGCGCAGATTCCGCGCGAGAGTTGCGTTGCCGCTTCGGCGCGGCCCGTGTTTGCTTTCGTTCCCTGTCGTCGGAAGCGGCGCCCCACGCCACCTGGGGCAACGTCGCCCTCGCCCGAGCGCAGCCTAGATTTCGCAAAGTGTGGCGCTCCAGCTTGTGCGCGCCACCCGCGGGAGGGTTGATTGGTACTCTCGCCGAAGCGCCGCGTGGGAGTGCCCTGAGCCCGCGGGCTCGTTCGAGCTGGCTGGGCCGACTCCCGCTCCAGCTCGCGGAGGAGGACAAGGTACCCATGCCGCTCCCTCGTTTTCCCCTGCCTGGGCCTCCTCCTCCTCCTCCTCCTCCTCCTCCTCCTCCTCCCCCTCCTCCTCCGCCTCCTCCCCCTCCTACTCCTCCTCCTCCTCCTCCTCCTCATCCTCTCGGGAGGCCCTCGCCGCCACTGCCAGTCCTGGTCAGAACACACCCCAGGAGAGGTCAAGGCAGAAGCGGTATTGGTGCCTTGTGGTTTCCCCAGACTCGTGCTCCAACTTTCACCCCTCCCAGCGCGCACTCCTACGACGCCCTGTCCAGCGCCTCCAGACAGTTACCAGAAACGTCCGGAGACGGCCGAGAGCTTCCAGAGTTCCGAGACCCTCCATGGTCGCGCCAGTTTTGAATCCCGAGCTCGCGACCCGGTGGGCGCTCAATGATGTCGCTCGGGCCCGCGGATCAGTGAAGGCCAGTCTGGCAGCGCAAGCTCTGTGGACACCCTGTCGGTGTCGCATTGTCCTGGGTGTGGGTGGCCATCTGCAGTAGCATCAGCTGACAGAGCAAATGTTCAGTGAGGTCCCCCCGTCGGCCATGCGCCGCAGGAGATTGGAGCGCTCAAAGCGGCCGCCGCGGAGCTGGAGAGGGACATCGCTCAGCTCAACCGCGACGTTACCAGGTACGATGCCGACATGGAGAAGGACCGCCTATTGTCCCCTCCTCGTCAAGGGGGAGGAGGAAGCGGAGGAGGAGCAGAAGGAGCAGGAGCAGGAGGAGGAGTGAGGAGGAGAAGGGTGGAGGAGGAGGGCTTCCAAGGGCTTCCGATTGTTCCAGTGGGTGCAGTCTGTCCAGGGGCTGTCCGGGAGGCGTACTCCTCCTGGCCGCCCCCCTCCTCGTCGTCCCTTTGCCAAGGCCACGGAGGGTCAACGAGCCCCCTGCGGGTAGCCGGGGGAGGTCTCAACACCCCGACGTTCCGCGTCCTGGTGCCTGGGTTGGGTCGGGCGTGTCCCTACAGGAGGAATATTTGAAAACAGTCAAACATGTGATTGGGACGATTTTTGGAGCACTTTTGAAAATTGTTTGAATATCTTTTGGATCTGTTTACTTTTTCGTCCGGGATCCTCCTGTAGGAGGAGACTCCCGACCTAACGCTTGGGCGTTGAAGCCGCCCCGGGCTCCCGTGTGAGCCGGCGTCCACTTGGGTCCGAGCGATCTTGCTCGATACAGATTCTGGCCTGCTCGGTCCGATCGACCCGACTCTCCAAACGGAATGCTGACTGATCTTGCTTGTGCAAACGTGTCCGATCTTGCCTGTTCAACTTGTTGTGGGCATGCGCCCCGAATATTCAAACATCGTTTGCCGGTTCAGATCGGAGGTTGGGGGGTGAGATCGCAGTGGAACGGAGACCCCCAACCGGGAAATCGTTTCGTTTCGTTCGTGTCGTGCGTGCGGGCGAAGCGAAGCTGCGTGGGCGCGCGAAAGGAATGAACTTGCCGTTGCTAGGGCGAAGTCAAGACAAATGATTATCCCCCGCCCGCCCGTCTGGCGGTGGCTCGCGGTGTCCCGCGGTGTCCCGTGGTGTCCTGTGGTGTCCCGTGGTGTCCGCCGTTGCTAGGGTGAAGTCAAGCCAAATGATTATCCCCCGCCCGCCCGTCCGTCCGTCCGTCCAGCGGTGGCTCGCGGTATCCCGCGGTGTCCCGTGGTGTCCCATGGTGTCCCGTGATGTCTCGTGGTGTCCCGTTGAGCGAGATCGATAGTGAGATCGATAGAGATATCGATAGTGAGATTGATACTGAGATCGATATTGAGATCGATGTGGTGCCCCGAGGTGTCCCGTGGTGTCCCATGGTGTCCCAAAAAGTGAGATCGATAGTGAGATCGACAGGTGTCCCATGGTGTCCCGTAGTGTCCCGTTGAGTGAGATCGATTGTGAGATCGATACTGGGATCGATGTGGCGCCCCGTGGTGTCCCGTTGTGCTCCGTTGAGTGAGATCGATAGTGAGATCGATAGTGAGATCGACAAGTGTCCCATGGTGTTCCGTGGTGTCCCGTGGTGTCCCGTTGAGTGAGATCGATAGTGAGATCGATTGAGTCAGATGTTGGTTTTCCCCTCTCACCCCCCACAACATTCTTGTCACCCGAAGGGTGGCAGTATAGGTATAGGCATGTTTCGTGGAACGAAGTTTCTGAGATTTTATCCATGCTCACGCAGTGCGACTTTTCGACTGCATTGTATTGTCAGATTCGCTGGCGAATCGATGAGAAGAGGAGCTTCCTAGGACAGCAAGTCCTGCCTGTGCGCAGCCACTAGCCTTGCCATCATTGTTTCTCCTCCCCTCGCAGAGATGCATGAGGCTGCGAGGCGGCTGGACTGCAGCCCGGCCCAAGTACGTATGGGAGTGGCTGAGCCCGTGGGCATCGCACGCATTCGCCGGGAAGCTTCGTCGAGAACATGGGCGATCGGAGCCGATGGGTACATGCTGTGATGGTCCCCCAGGCAACTGGCCGCCAAAAAAGAATGGGAACTCGCGGGTGCACCCCGGGGGGGCGATTCGGACGCACCCCTATGGAGGATGTACTCTCCCCCGCCCTATATCCCCGAGTGGTGCCCCAGATTCTTCGTCCACTCGACAGCCTGACAAAGTCGGGAATCGGAGTCCCCATGCACCCCGTCAGTCTCACTGGGCAGTCTGCCATTGCTCCAGCCGCCGAATGGAAGGCTTGCTGGGGCGAAGGCCCACCTGGAAAGCTGGCGCTGAGCTCTGGCGCAGCTGCACGGCGGCCACGCCTCCAGCTGGGCCACCAGTGGCCCGCCGCCAGGCCCAGCCCGGCCAAGCCCGCGAAGCAAGAGGTGCCATGAGGGGAGCGGACCAGGACACCAGGGCTTTCCCGCTTTCCCAAGAAGGGCAGGCTGGGGCCAGAGACCTCCCCCTCCGCCTCCTCCTCCTCCTCTTCCTCCTTTCCCTCCTCCTCCTCCTCCTCCTTCTCCTTCCCCCTGCTCCATTACTTTTCCTTCTAGATAATGCCTCCCTGTCACACCCCGGGACCTGTCGGAAGGGCGGGCTGGGTGTTTCGCTTGAGGCGTCCTCACCACTAATGATCCCGAAGCTTCAATATGGACGAACGCTTCACAGAGGGAGGGAGGGCCACTTTCAAAAAGTGGCTCTCGCCCCAGCGCCTCGCACATTCGATTACACTATTGCAAGAGCTTCACAGATTTTGGGCGGGCGGTTTTCAAAATGTGGCTCTCGGCTTATCGCCGCGCGAATTCGTTTCAACAGAATTTCAAGAGCTTCACGGAGTGAGGGCGGCTCATGTTTGGAATGTGCTTCTCGTTGTAGCATCGCGTACCGTCCTTTCAAGAAATTTCATGAATTTCCCAGATTCCCAAGGTTAGCGTATCAGAAGTGGGGTTTTGGAACGATTCTGGATTGTCAGGGCGCAACAGTTACGTTGATTCGCGGTGTTGAAGTCCCAGGAAAGGCGTTCTGGCACGATTCAGGAATGTCAAGCCGTAACGGTCAAGACGATTCGTGGCGTTGAACGTTGAAGTTCCGAGAGTGGCTTTCTGGCAGGCTTCAGGATTTTCAAAAGGTTGTTTCCCAAGGGGGCACTTCCTTGAGTGGAAATGAACCGTTGCAGGGGTCTGGGAGTTTGGAGGGAAAGCTGATTAACACTGTGGATGAGTCTCGGGTTTGCACTCTCCTCCCCCTCCTCCTCCCCCTCCTCCTTCTCCTCCTCCTCCCTCCTTCTCCTCCTCCTCTTCCTCCTCCTCCTCATCCTCCTCCATTCCTTTCCCTTATACAGAATGTCTCCCTGTCGCACCCCGAGGCCAGTTTTCAGGGCGAGCTGGGCGTTTCGCCTGAGACTTCGTCACGATTTATGATTCTGAAGCTTAAATTTGGCAGCCACTTCACATATGGAGGGCGGGTCGTTCTCAAATTGTGTCTCTCGCCTTAGCGCGGCGCACATTCGTTTAAACAAATTGCAAGCATTTCACGGATTGAGGGCTGGTGGTTTTCAAAATGCGGTTATCGCCGTAGCGCGGCGCGCATTCTCTTAAATAATTTGAAAGTGCTTCACGGATTGAGGGCGGTTTCTTTTCAAAATGTTGCTCTTGCTTTAGCGCGGCGCACATGTGGCTTACAAATCTTACAAGAGCTTCACGGATCGAGGGCGAGTGGTTTTCAACATGTGGTTCTCGCCTTAGCGCGGCGCGTATTCGTTTTAGAAATTCTAGACGCTTCGCGTGTCCCCACCAGCCTGTCAGCCCCGGCCCCTGGTCCCCCCTGCTCCATTGGTCCAACCCCATATTTGGCGCATGGAGTCCCTGAGCGCACGTGGTTCAGCCTGTGCTCTCCTGGCTGTCGGATGACTGTGTTGACTACGTCCACGGTTCCTGGCGGCGATGCCCACGACTGTGTTGACTACGCCCACGGTTCCTGGCGGCTTTGCCCACGGCGCCCTCGTGTTCACTCGACCCGGTGCCTGAGACGTGAGTCGCCCTGGTCCTGGTCAGCTCAGACGCCGGCGTTCTGGTCGAGGGTGCACTCGGCTCTCCTGGTCCGGTGGCCCTGGCGTGGTACGGTGTCGATCACACCCATCGTTTCCCTGGCCGCTCAGCTCGCCCTCCCAGGATCACCCCGTGGACGGTTGGATGCAGGGGCGGTGCTCTTTTCAGGAGTCTTGGTGTGCGACATTGGTGGCGCCATTTTATGCCCCAGTTTTAAGCCAGTATGGTCCCCTGGCAGCTCACGCAGTGTCCTGTCGGCTTCCTTTTGGCTTCATCCTGGTACCACCCCCGCGCCAATTTGGTTGCGCCCCAACCGCGGTTGGTTAATCACGCATGTGCGCGCTACTGGGCCCAGTCCCTCGCAGCTGCAGCTCGCACGCCCCCTCTCGCCGGCCCGCCCGCCGAAGCGCCGCTGAGGTCGCCGGCCCGTCGGCTTTAGGCAATTGGGCTCTTGCGCGGCCCGCTCGGACCTTACTACTCGCCGCTGGCGCTGTCGCCTGCGGTTGCGACAAAAAGTATCCTCAGCAGCCCATTCAGAAACGATGTCGAGGCGAGTTGGGAGGTGATTGATCAGGGAAGTGCGGGAGCAAAGAAGGGGACGGTCGAACCGTGTGAAGGAGAAGGGGGGCGAAGGAGAAAATTGGATGGATGGATGAGGGAGTAGGGAGAAGGAGGATGAAGAGGATGACGAGGAGGAGGAGGCGAAGGGGGAGGAAGAGGATGGGAAGGGATAGGAGGAGGAAGGAAGAGGAGGAGAGCAAGCAAAAGGGCCAGAGGTCTCTTGGATGTTTCTCGGAGCCTCTTGGGGTATCTCTTGGGCGTCTTGGGACGTTTTGGGGGTCTCTTGGCGGTCGTGGGGGGCTCTTCGGCGTCTTGGCTGTCTCGGGGGGGGTCTCTCGGGGCCGCTTGGGGTCCTGTTTGGGGCCTCTTGGGGTCATCTTGGGGCCATCTTGGGGCCATTTTGGGACCTCTTGGGGCCTCCTGGGCGTTTCTTGGGACCATCTTGGAGGAGATCGATCAAACAAGAGGGGAGCTTTAACTCGGGCCCCCGCCCCCAAGAGGCCAAAATGGAGCAAAAACCTTCGTAAAACCAGTGATGTTGGCTTCCTCGCCGAAGCCGTTTTGAACGCTCCGACACCTCGCGGAACCCCCTGTCCAGGTCCAGGGGAGGGGGTCGGGGAAGGGGTTAACCCCTCCCCGAAGGGGAAGAAGGAGGGGTGGAAGAGGAAACTCCCTAAACCACCTACGCCCAGAGGGCTGGTGGGATTTGCAAGAGCTTCACGGATTGAGGGCGGCTCCTCTTCAACATGTGGTTCTCGCTTTAGCGCCGCGTACACTCGTTTACAACATTTCCCAGCTTTTCACGAATCCCCATTATCAACGCACCAGAAATGGTAGAAGGATTAAGGATTAGTTATGCGGGCGCAACAGTTACTTTGATTCTATCTGTTGAAGTCCTAGGAATGGCGTTCTGGCACGATTCAGGATCGTCGAAACTGGCACAGTCAGCTTGATCCGTGGCGTTGGAATGCTGACAACAATGTTTTGGTATGCTTCAGGGTCTTCAAATGGGTGTCTTCCAACGAGGCAGTTCGCTCAATGGACATGAACCGTTGTAGGGGCCTATGAAGAGGGAGCTTGGAGGGAGAGTTTACTCCAACATCGTTGATGACCCTTGGGTTTACACTGGTCCTCCTCCTCCTCCTCCTCCTCTTCCCCCTCCTCCTCCAGCACCAGCTCTTCATCTTGGGCCGTTGTTTGGGCCCTGGGCCCGTAGAGGGGCCACGGGGAGCCTTAGACAGGGCGGAACACCTCCGGGGCCCGCTCCCTGCGCAGGACCTGCTTCTCCTTCGCGCCAGCCTTCGGGATGCCCCGATGGCTCACGCTGGCACAGGACGGCACGAACTGGGGCAGCTTAGAAGCAGCAGTTTTACAGCACACGCAGCACACAGCACCAACGGTCGAGAGATTTCCCATCACTACAAACGGGGGCTCCGGCCCGCCCGCGCCAGCCTTCCAGGCCCCGCCGCCCTGGCGTGCACTGATGCGCTCTGCTCTCTGCTCTCTGCTCGGGATGCCCCCCGACATCGTATGCGTGGCCTCTGGTCGCAATCTGGAAGCACAGTGGGGCGCAGCAGCACGACTTTGGCTTCCAGTTTCCATAACTTGACACTTGAACGTGCAGGGCTGCGCGCCGCGTAGCTGTGAGCCGCTCGGCGAATGGGAGCAGTGGCCCCCTCCTTTCCTCCGTCTCTTCTCCTTCTCTATCCAGTCCGCCCAGGCCCTGGCTCGCCTCCTGGGTCTCCTGCCTTCGCCTAGTGTTTGCTGGATTCAGCAAGTGAGCGTCGGAGGAGCGCCAAATGAGACAACGGCGGTGAGAGTACTGCGGCCAAGTCTCCACGCCTCGCGTATCCCCACCAGCCCTTTCAGGAACGTTGCCCAGGTAGCTAGCTGGAAATGGGACGCAGAGGCACATATAGTGAAACCAAGCGGGTCACCAGGATGAAGAATGAGGTTTCTCTGAGCAGGGGGGGTGGCCTTGGAGGGCCTCTTCGGGCCATCCCTAGGGCCCTCGGGGGGCGAGGGTGGAGGAGGAGGAGGAGGAGGAGGAGGAGGAGGCAAACCTTCTCTTGGGGCCCTTGTGGGACCGTCGTGGGGCCATCTTGGGGCCCTCTTGGGGCCCTTTTGGCTGTTTAGGGGCCCCCTTGGGAGCCCTGGAGGGCCTCTTGAGGCTATCTTGGAAGCTATCGATCAAAGGGGGGGGGTTCCTCGATGTGAGTCCCCCTCCCTGGGGCCTTCCACATCGCCTCTTGGTGGCCCTCTTGGGGCCCTGTTGGGCCGCTCTTGGGCGCTCTTTGGGCCGTCTGGGGGGCCTCTTGGGCCTCTCATGTGCCATCTTGGGGACATCTTGAGGACTCAAAAGCGGATCGGAAGCGAAAAGGCGAGAATGCAACAATCAATGATTTTCTTTAGGGTTTGCTATTCCATGGTTGAGAAAATAATGTTGGCCTCTTGGGGGGGTCAAGAGGTGTGTCCGAGAGCACTTGAAACCGTATTGCGGCCTTCGTGGGGCCTCTTGGAGGCATGCCGGAAGTTAGCTTGAACCGTCGTCGGCTATCTTCAGCCATCTTGGGGGCCACCTTGGAGCATCGGAGGCCCTTGTGGAGCCATCTTGGGCGTAAAAATCCCTTCTAATATATCGCTGCCCGCTCCCAAAAATCGCAGGGAGGAGAGTTGGAGGGTACCCCTCCCCGAAGGGAAGAAGGGAAAGGAAGAAACAGCTCGTTAGATTACCTTAGCCCGAAGGCCTGGTGGGACTCCGTTCAAAATCGGTCTCCAGACCCATCTGGGGCCCAGACGCACCAGTCTTCCGAGCTGCGCCCAGCCGTTGCGGCGAGTTGGCCCCCCGACGGCCAAAAGGGGAACCCTTGCCTCGCCTGGCCCTCCTCCGAGAATGGTGGCCGCGCTGCAAGAACAGGGGTGAGCGCGGGCTTTCTCAGAAGGCTCGGAAGTCCCCCGGCCCTCTGAGAAGTTATCTGAGCTTCCCCCGACGACGCAGAGAACCTCTCGGAAGGTCGGCGGGCCTCTGAGAAGCCGGGCCGCCTTCGGAGAGGGCCTTCTCCTTCATTCTTCTCGGGGGCCTCCAATCGTTGTGGTTACCACACCGTGTGGTGAGTCGGTGGGCATTCGGGGTCACCGCACGGCTTTGCGACTTGGGTCGTTCTCCGAGGACGTCTCGGGCGACTGAGGCCTCTGTGGTCCCAAAACCGTGTGGCGACGGCTCGTGCGGTGAGGTCCTTCGGGGTTGTAAGGTCGCCGCACGATCTGTCACCACACGGTTTTGGGACCCCCGAGAGCCAGCCTTGGCTCGGGGGCAGTTCCAGGCCGACCGCCAGCCCGGCGCCCACGAGTCCAGGGGGGCCCTGCGGCCTGCGGCCGGCACCTCGCCGAATCTCCGAACTTTACGGTGCCGTGCTCAGCAGCCTCGATCAGAACGGTCGTGTGTAGAGCACTGGCGCCACAGTGTGCATGAGAAGACGTCCTGCTGTCGTCGAAAGTCTGGGGAGCTCTTCGCCCCTGGGTCGAGTTTAGGGGGCCACTGCGGCTGGGTCTTCTTCGGGAAACAGCCGGCACCGGCGAGAGAGAGAGAGAGGTCGGTCACGGGAGGGCGGAGGGAGGGAGGGCCAGACTTCTACCCCTTCAAGTCTTGAAAAGGTAACGACCAGAGGTTTTTCTATATTTTCGGCCTCTGGGGGCCCTCACCGGGCTTCGGGAGCGTGAGCCAACGACCCAGGATGAAGAATTAGTCAAGGGGAATGGGTCGAGACCTCGACGCTATGAACGAATCATGACGTCGGGGGTCTGGGGAATCAGATCTCTGGCGAGCTGATGTTTCCCAGGTAGCGTTTCACGTCAGAGGGTTTCGGTGGAGGTAAAAAACGACCACACAGAGGATCCACAGGGCGGACGCGGATCCCAAGGACGCCGTCCCCTGTCGGCCGTTTCGCTTGTCCTTTCAGTTCGTTTTTGTTCAGGAATCGTCGTGCTCTCGCCTCCATGACGGCTACATGTGTGGCCCGGACGGCCACGATCCTTTTATTATGAGGCTTTCTTTTGTAGATTCTGGCAAGTTCTCGCTTGCATGGCATTTCCCCGCCTCGCCCCCGTCCGCCGCCATGTCGAACAGCGCTGGGCCGAAACAGCGTGCGAGTGGGTCCCGACGTGCGTGAAACCCAGATGGTTCCTCCCGGGCCCCGCCACGCCCATCCCCCCCCTCCTTGCCAGGAGGCCTGCCGGGGCTTTTTGCTCCAGCGGGGCGCTCCCCCTCGATCGCGGCGCACGGGGCCCGCTGTGGGGCCCCCCGGGGGCCATCCGAGATGGCTCTAGCGGCCCGAGCCCGCGCCCGGGGAGGGCGTCGGGAGCCCCGGGCCCGGGGCCGCGAACGGAGGATTGAGAGCAGGCCTCATCGGATGGTGCTTTGGGGGGGAAGGTGGGCTCGCGCCGCGTTGGCCCCGGCGCGGGCGTGCAAGGTGGAACGCTGCCAGTGGCCCAGGATGTAGCGATCTGCGGTATCGGAGGGCTGCGATCGGTCTCGGATGAGCGGTGCTCGCGGGGTCAGGAGCCAATGCAGGGCGTCACGTCACGGCACGACTCCGCCGTGGGCCCAGAAGCCGGGTCACCAAGGTTTTTTGCATTTTTGTGCATCGTGTGCGTGTCGCACGGAGATGAGTGGAGGGTCGAATGTGCGATCCGTTCGAGCACGGACTCCGAGCACCCCCGCTCTGGCACTTCTTGCAGCGGGTGCAGCTGAAGGGGGTGCCCGCACCTCTCTGGCGACCAGCAGCTTCTGGCTGTGATAGAGAGGGCCCGACCAAAGCTCGCTGAAACACGGGTCCCCTGACCCCTCCTGCGGCCCCTCTTCCCCAGTTCTCCGGCCCGTGTCCAGGCGTGGCGGCGAGCATCCCCAGACATGCTCGCAGCGGACACATCGCCGTCGCCGTGGTCGCCTCCGTCGCCGTCGCCGTCGCCGTCGCCGTCGCCGTCGCCGTCGCCGTCGCCGTCGCCGTCGTCGTCGCCGTCGTCGTCGTCGTCGTCGTCGTCGTCGTCGTCGAATGGCCCGCCGCGAAGAACGAGGAGCGGATGACACGAGAGGGGGTGCTTGCTAGCGAGCTCGGCAACGGAGGTTGTGGGCTCCGGGCGGCCGCGCGCCTCTCAGGAAACCGCGGAGCGCAAGAAGGAGCACGAGGCGTTCGTCGCCGAGGACCCCTCGGCGGTCGCCGCCGCCGCCGTGCGCTGTGCGCCGCTCTCGTCGCCCTCGTCGCCCTCGTCGTCGTCGTCGTCGTCGTCGTCGTCGTCGTCGTCGTCGTCGTCGTCGTCGTGGTCGTGCGCCGCCCTCGCCGCCCTCGTCGCCCTCGTCGCCGCCGCCGCCGGCGCCGCCGAGCTCGGGGCGGAGCTCGCCCGACGGTGGTGCCGCCGTGCTCCGAGAGAGGGCAGGAGGCCAGAGAGCGGCCGTCCAGGTCTGGCCCGGTGGCCCCGACCCCGCCGAGGAGCGTGCGGCCTCGCCTTCGGGGGAGCCTATCGGCGATCTATCGGCGATGCGTCGCCAATTCCAGCTCGATGTTTTGTTCCTCGGGAGAAGAAGCGCCATAAGCATAAACTGTTGGCGCTCCGCGCGGATTTCTTGGTTCCGCGCTGGGCCCCCCGGGCGGCGCCGCCGGCGCCGCCGCTGGCGCGCTCCGCGCGCCAGGTAGGGGGGTCCAGCGCAGATCCAAGAAATCCGCGCGGAGCGCCAGCAGTTTATGTTTAAGGCGCTTTTTGTGGTTCGATTATCTCCCTGAGCCAGTACCCCCGCAATCTTCCTCTCTCGCCTTCCCTCCGCTGTCCTCCTCTGCGCTCCGCAGCCTCGCGCCGTGGTCTTCGGCCTTGCACCGCGGAGTCGTCTGGGCGTTTGTGTTCTCCTGTGGAAGCTGCGGCCACGTCGCTGAGTGGGGCTGAGGGGGGGGGCTCTCGCTTTCGGGCCGCTCTCGGGGGAACGCTCCGCGAGGTATCCCGTGACACGGGCAAGTTGGTAGACCACCTTGAGCGTACAGTCGGGGCGTTGAAGAAATAACCCTTTTCGTTGGGGAAGGGCTCAGGGTTCCTTAGTTGTTGTGCAGTTTGCCTCAGGTTTTTTTCCGGCTGTCGATGGGAAATCGAGGTTGAAGTTCTGGAAAACAGGGGGCCTCGTTCCTTATGTGTCGCTCCTTAGGTCAACGCCCCAACTGCACAGCGTCTGATAAGCTGCCAGGGAGAAGGAAACACGGTCGGGGAACCGCTGCGTGGCAGAGGCTCGCCGTGACTGTAAGAGTCAGGAGGGGAAACACACACACAAACACACACACAGACGCACACGCAGACACAGAGACAGACACAGACTCAGACACAAACAATCGTCGTTTCTCCGGAGAACATGTGAAAGATCGGTAGCGGAGGGGAAGACGCACATCCAGGACATATGGAACACGTGTGGAGCGTCCTTGGAACAGCATGTGCCCGTTTACTTGTGTGTCCCGGAGCCCCCTCACGGAAGAGCGCCTGCCCCGACGCTTGCCGCACCCGGCCCCCTCCCGCCCGCCGAGGAGCAGGACTACGGCGAGAGCGCCGGCGCCCCGGCTTTGCCAGCGAGACAGCAGACCTCCAGACCCTCCTCCATCCTCCC